GCCTGGCTCTGTAGTTTATCAGCCATGTGAACCTCTGCCCATTATTTGGAACCAGTAATAAGGAATACCTACTACAAAGAGTGATGAGAAGATTAAAAATTAATGTTTAAAATACATAGGACAGTAATTGGCACATGGTGAAGTCTAAATGATGATCATGCTTCATATTCAATTAAGATGAAAATACATAGCTGAGTAAACAAAAAAAGATGCATTTGTGGTTACATACAAGTTCATCTCTATGGAAACAATAACTAAACGTTGGGTATGTGAAGTACAAATCATATCATTTATTTGGCTATAAAATGTTTTATCAGTTTTCACTGAATAAGCCTGGACTTACACAAATGTAATTGGTGGTACACACTGATATCATAAGAAAGAACATACATGCATCCATAGTCACAGTATACCTTGTCTATTTTTGGGTACTTGGAAATTCTAGTTCATTTATAAAGACAGATAAAAAAGTTACAGATGTTCACATATTGAAGTAAATAAAATATTAATTTACAATTTTTCTAATTAGATCACATTTATCATTGTTTGTCCTTATAACATTATACAATTCTTAAAGAGCTATAGACTTATCTAGATTGCTTAATTAATTTTTTAAAATCTGGATAATTTTGACATTTGGACATATCAATCTATGCTTAGCAGAAGTTTTTAGTTTTAACTTTTAATAAAACCCTCTGAAATCATCCAAGTCTTAATTTTTAGGCATAATAGTTTGGGGATGTTGCAATATAAGAACTCCCATGGTAACTATCTTAATTTACAGAAATAGTGTCAGTGATGAAAATAAATTTGAGTGCCATTCCTGAAATGTAATCGTGTCACATTTCAACACTAAGGAGGAAAATGTATATAGCTATTGTAGGCCACATAGTTCAATAAGTGAAAGCAATCCTAGTTATTTTTATATTAGTTAACTAAAGAGCTATCAATTTTCATTGCACTTCCTCTAGTTTAAACATCATGTTCTATAAACATATATGACAAAGCATATCTGCTCTTATGAGAGTAGGTTTCTCATTCCAGTTCATCATTTTCCTTTCAAGTCATTTATGAAAATAGCTGTCTGAACACTTGAGCTTATACCATTTAAAAGCAACAAGAGAATCTAAATTAGGATCTTAATAGAGGAATTGCTGTAATGCTGTAATGAAGATTATGGGAACAACAAAATGATTTTCACATATCAATCAAAAGTAATTTCAAGTAAAAAATAAAACAAAACAAAACTTAAATTCCTTACAAACATAAGAAAAATGAAAATAAAAAAGAATTGAGATGTTCCAAAGTAAGAGTTTGAACCATATCTAGAAATCTAAACTGAAATTATTTCAATCAGAAATATTATTGCCTGAATTTTCTTATAAATAAAATTAGTAAATAATTACTGGAAAACTACAGGCAGTTTTTTTGGCCTGATATTAAAAGGTTCATTATTAGCATTTAAAGTAATTACATTGTTATTGAAAATGTTCAATAGGTAATTGATTAGCATAATAATAATTACTACCACATAATTTGCATAAAGTCATAATAGAGCTAGATATAAATTTATTCCTTTATAAAGTAAAAGTGCTTAATAGCTACAATAAATAAATTCATAAATTATAATAAAGAGTGCATGTAGTTATTTTTACAATATTTAAGTAATATCTCAACATAAATATTGTTACTAATTGTTTGAATGAAATAAATAAATATATTTGAGTTTTTAAGATGTGGTATATCACTAATATTGAAAGGAATTGTGCTGGCAAAGGCATCCTTAATATACAGCTTAAAATGAAACATCTAGTGAAAATGAGAGAAAAGCAGAGAGAGATCTCAGATGGGCAAATCCTCCTCATAATAAAGAGAAAGATACCAAGATCAGTCCATCTACACAGTGATAAAAGTTACCTCTAAAATTACTACTTTTGCATTTTCAATATTTGTTAGTAGCAGTGGCTACTTAAATCACAGCATTTACATGTGATGGTGATTATTTAAAATGGATGAGAAATAAGTGATGTAATAAAAATGCTCACACGCAGAAGCAGACTAAAAGGAGGAACAAGGTCTCTGTCTGCCTGACTTATTTTAAATCCACTTGCATAATCCTATTGTAAGGCAGAGTGATAAAATATCTTATCAAGCCAAAGAAAAGCAATTCAAGTTGCTATCAGCATTTATTAAGTACTAAATAATATGCTGGAGCACACTTACTAGACTGGGAAAAGCAGCTTTAGAATACTGCTTTAAAATGAAAAATCATGTGAAAAATAACTTGAACATAGTAGAAGAAACAGAAAAAACAGCTATCTTCCCCCTAAAAAGGAACTCAGAATGCTGGGTTAATTCATTCATGCAGCAAATGTTTGCTGAGTACCTACTGTGTACCAACACTGTTCTGGCAATCAGAGCAGTAAGAGCTCTTCCTTGTGTAGCATAGACTCCATGGGGGATGGGGGAGTAGTCGATAAACAGTGCATAAACATGAAAGCATAGGGTAGTGATCAACACAAGGAGTAGAAAGAAAACAAGGAATGAGGCTGTGTGTTCAGGCGTGGGGAGGCAGAGAGGCCAGGGAGGGCCACACCAAAAAAGTGCCTTGTGTGTAATACCTGGATGAGTGTGGAGTGTATCATCACAGGCTGCTAGAGACAAGGAGCAGTGGGAGACGAGAAGCTCTAAGGCAGGAGAGGGCAGGTGTGTGCCCGGGAGCAGAAGCAAGCTGTTGAGGCTGGAGCAGCGCGGGGAGAGAGTCCAGGAGAAGAGGCCAGAAAGGGGAGGGTGGCGCTGGCACCAGGCGGGGGGCCTGCAGACCATGGGACATGGGACAGCACCTGGACTGGAAGCTTGATAAGCTAGAACCACAGGAGGGCTGGCATTTTTCAACAGGGTCCAGGGCAGTGGGAGTGAGACCAGCTGAAATGAGCCCACGTTGGGGGAAAGGGTCTTCGTGAGTAATGTGTTCAAAGGGAAGCTTCAAGTCTTGGAAAAACTGTCATCTCCTCTACTTCACAAGATTCTCCCATGATAAAGTGCAAACTCCTTCCTGAGTTTTCATGTTATGTGTGTGTGTGTGTGTGTGTATGTGTGTGTGTGTAATAACATCCCGTATGCATCCAATCTTCCATGCTTTACAGCTCCATGCTCTATGTCTCCCTTCCCAAGACGTCTATACCTTCAGACATTTCTTCTTAAGCTCAGTCACCATCCCAGTGTGAGACCCATCCCTAGGGAGCATTCTCATGATGTGCCCGCATGCAGTAGTCCCTTTAGAACAATGGGAAGGTTTCCCCCCCCCCCAGTTGTCCCCCTGGCCAGGACTCCTATAGGTCAGAGGTGACCTTCCTGACTTGGACTTGCTCTAATCCAGGCACTGTTTTAAGCTCTGCCTAAGTTTCAGTGCTGGCTTGTAAGGTTCTCTACTCTGGCCCTAGATCTCTATTTTTTGCTGCATGTAGTCACTGGCCTCAGTTTTTGTTCTTCATCATATTAATAAAGTGTTCATTGGCAGACATCTGGCAGGTGCTTTTCAGCACAACTTCCAGTGTTGATTGGGCAATCCTCTTCAAGTCTCATGAAACAAAAGGATGCAAGTGCTATGCTTTGGCAGTCAAAGACCAACTGATCCTGGGTTTGAGTCAACTTAGTGAGAGGTTAGTTAAATGCTCTGTGGGATGGCTGCCAGGTGAGTGAGTGGGAGGCTCCTGGCCTGACTGGCTGGTTGGTCAACTGGCATATTCGGCCTGCCCTCCCGATCCACCTACACCCCACAGTTTCCTTCTGCTGATGCTCAATGTCCTTCCTCAATTATTTTAAGCCTAGAAAGCTTTTTTCACCCCTCCAAGGTTTTTCTATGATACATAGGATTTAATTATTTTAGTATAGTTTTTCAGGACTCATTTTAAGATCATTATTTTGTATGACTCAAATTATTCATAATATTCCCTATTTTATTTCATATAGATACTGCTTGAAAGGAAAGACAGAGAGGAAAGTGAGAAATAAAGTTATTTGACTTTGTGGCATAGGTATGTAAAAGAGAGAGGATGTTTAGTGTGCATTCACATTTGTCTTATACATCTCTATCAAAGAGATATCTTGACTTTGAGAAACACACTGAGTTGGGATCAGAGACCTATATTCTTTTCTAGGCTTGCTTCTGTCACTAACCGTGAAAGTGGGACAAACTGTATCATAGGTGTCTCAGTTTCTACAACTGCATTCTCATTCTCATCTGCGTTCCAAATTTGCATAATACTGTTGTGATGCTCAGAGTGTATAACATACATTCAATCAGCAGCAGCATGACATTTCGGAAAGTGGCCATCAATTATAAACCTGTCATTGGAGTTCTCACCGGCATGTATCTGGACCATTTAGGCCCCATACTATTGACTCTAGTCCTGTTACTACCTTTTTTTCAGCTTTTGTGGGGACTGTGGGGTTGGTGCTTCTGCCTTTTTATAAACACTTCAGGCTAATGATTTCCCTGCCATCTGATCCATCATCTGAAGACCCTACTGTCTTAGGCTTCCAAGAAGACAAATGAATAGCATGTAAAATTTGTGCTAGTGTGTGGACAGGTCAACTGGATCCTTTTTATCTTCACTTTTTCTGTGTAATAGAGGCTATCTGGTTTTACTGTCTCAAATTTACTGTTGGAACCAAACTAACCACTCAGATGATAGAAATTTTGGTCACACACATACTCCAAAACTAAAATGGGATTCATGAGAGACATGAGCTTTGGTACCCGAGAAACCATTGTCATTCTTTTTAGGTCACAAGATAGGACATCTATGTATATTGTGCACTAAGTGAGATCGATCCTGGAATATGTGCACACAAGTAACGTTAAGAAAAACAAATATGAAATGTGCCATTTCAATTAATTATGTACTCTGAGAGCAAATGATATTGATTTTGGCCCAGATTCCATAATAAATGGAGGCCATATAAATAAAATTATACATACGTATGCAAATACTTACTGTATTGACAGTTTCTTCCCATAAATTCACCAGGACACTCACAAGAATAGTTAGCCACAAGGTCAGTACATATTCCGCCATTTTTGCAAGGCTCAGCTTCACATTCGTTTATGTCTAAGGAAAACAGAAAGAACAGAAGAAGACAATTATTGGTAAACATGATTAGATATTGGAGGGGTCTAAGCATTTTGGATAGAAATATCCAAGTAATACTAATTATTTGTGTGTGTGTATGCATGTGTCTGTTTAGTCAACAATACAAATGCTGACTGAAACCAACAATTTGTTAACCAATTTAATCGGTTTCAAATGGAATTGAGAATCCAGAAGAAAGACCAACAGAATGAAACAATTCTCTCATTCTAAAAATAAATATGAATAGTTTGGGGAAATAGTGTATCCTTAAAATCAAATAAAACAAATTAACCCTGATAGAAATATGAATTGGTTTCACTTACACTCCCCTGCAGCAAAAACTGCCAATTAACACTGTCTCATTTCATCTTAATTCATTAAAATTCTAACTAACAGAGATGTTTTAGTTTCTAAATAGTTCGCCTTTGATGAATTCAATGAGAAGCAAATTAGAGTTAATAGCTAAAGCTGGTTATATGCAAAGTAAGAGAAATGTAAATGATGATCACTTCCTAATCTCATTCGAAGGCTTCTAAAGTCAGTGTGACTAAAGGGACTTACCTTTGATATACAATTATTATACCTGATACAAAAATCACATGAAATATAAAACATTCAGCATATTATAATCATTTCCTTGCTGATTTTGGACAAGAGGAAAAACAAATATGATTTTTGAACATACACACAAATGCCTAAAATGACCAATTCAGTCAAATGTCAATCCTGATATTCACAAATCATTCCTGGGAAGCAGTACCACACTAGGTTCCATGAAAGCCAGGATGGTAGGGGGAGAGTATACGCCACTCCCCATCTCTTCCTCCTCCTATCACCTACTCCAGTTGAACACTCTGTCTGCTCTTCCTTCCACAACTCTGTTGTTTCTGTCTTACAGACCTAAGTGGAATTACTTGGAAATTGCCTGTTACACACTTCTCACCCTTCACTACCCCAGAAAGGGAGTCCCTGTCCTGTTTGTACCCCTGTACATGACATACTCTATCTGGAAAACTATTGATGCCCAATAAATGTTTACTAATAAACTTTCTACCAAAAGCCTAGAAGTAGTGGTGTGTACCATCTAAAAATCATTTTATTTCAGATTCTAATGTGCCTTCTGATGGACCATAATGTATCAAAAGGTGTTTCTGAAGTAAGTTATCACAGTTGCTGAAAGCATGATGATCACTAAGTTACCCTCTATAGACCAAATGAGGGGAAAAAAATACTATAAAACTCTCTATTTTGCCCTCTCTTTCAACTCCTTTATTTTAAGCTGAAAGTAGAGTTGGTCACCCTCTCATTAGGATCTCACTGTGAAAAGACTGGTCTAAATTTCCTTAGGCAGGTGATGACATTCTCTGAAAAGGTAGCACTTTTTGGTTTCTAGTTGACTCAAAGCTTGAGAGTAGAGACAATTCATGATTAAGTTCAAAAAGATTCTAAATAATTTGAGTATAATATACAAAAAATAGGATTAAAGGACAATCTGTTAATTGCTAAACAGGGCTTTGTTCTATAAAATATGACAGACTCCCAAACATTTGATCCTGAAATTCTACCAAAAGAAAGACAGAAAAATAGGAAGGAAGGAAGGAAGGAAGGAAGGAAGGAAGGAAGGAAGGAAGGAAGGAAGGAAGGAAGGAAGGAAGACTGCTCTGAGTTCAGAGCCCCAGCATGCAGGATCATTTGCCATTCTCAGGGGTTTCTTGGGAGGAGGCAGCAGAGATCAGCTGCTCCTCAGCACCTAGCCACCACCTGAAGCGGTGGGCCAAGCACTGGCAGCAGAAACCGTGGAGAAGATACATGGAGGAAATCAGGAGCTGAGCCCCACCACCAATGAAGAGATGCTGACTGCCAACATATTCTCTATGCTGGGACTGGGCAGTGACCTGCATAGGCCTGCACAACTCTGTTCAGTCTCCAACATGAGACCCAGAGGCAACTCTGCACCCCTCTGGGATCGACCATCACTGGTGAAGAGAGGAAACTTCAAGAACAGATGCAGACAGACAGATGCTCCAACTTCATGCTTGATCAGGCACAGATATGTTTGATCTGGGTGGGAGAAGTGATAGCAGCAGCAGAAGATGAGTTGGGGTGAGTCTGGGACTGATTCACTCATTTCCCCAGCAGTCCATGGGACACCTGATCCATTCTGAAAGCAACCAGATTAACCTGTGCTGATAGCAGAGGGGAGGGGCTGGAGACCAGAGCCTGTTCCCTATAGCAGAGGCAGCAAACACAGTGGTTATGCTTGGGACCCACAAGTAAAAAGAAAAAAATAAAAGGAAAGGAACCAAAAGTTCCAGAAATAACCACAGAGGTAGCGCTATTTTTTCTTTCTGTTTTTGTATTTGTTTTCTTTTTGTTGTTATTGTTTTCATTTTTTAGTGTTTCTGTTTATGCATGAGTATTTTTTACAGAAAATGCATCTTCAGGTTTTTTTTGGTTTTTTGTTTCTGGTTTTTTTCCTTGTGTCTTTGTCTATTTGTTAGGTGGTGTGCCTGTCTGTTTTCCTTCTTCTTCTCCTCTCTCTTCATCTCTCATCTTTCTTTCATGCCCCTTCTTCTTTCTTCCATTCTTTTCCTTTTTCTTATCTCATTTTGCTTTCAGGAGTCATACATATGCCACTACCTCATGGACAGATTGTAGAGTGGAGGGAAGTGGGTTTCTGGAGACCCACACACCAGTCAGTGGATACTGTAATCTGCAGATAGCTTCTGAACCACAGCTCCCCCCATTAAAACTGAATCAAATCTCAGAACTGCAAAAAGCACAGCCCCCATCCTCACTCTAGCTTCAAAAGTGAACAAATCCAGTAGAACTACATGAGGAAGAATAGAGGATTGAGCAAACAAAAGTGAAAGCTATCCTCCCATCCCGAGCAATAGAATTAAATAAGAGAGAAAGAGGGGAAGGAAAGCCATCACAAATGAAGAAGAACCAAAGGAAGAACATAGGTCCCATCCAGACTCCTGGGAAGACAGCACCTGAGAATAGACTTTGGAACTCAAATAATGAAGAGCCCCAAGAATGACTGCTCTCAAACCACAAACACAGTTATCAAGATATCAATAGAGAAACTGAATAGAAGTGAGGAGAGACAAGAGGAAAGAATGAAGGAGTTGATAACTGAGATGACAGTAATAAAAAATAGAGTAGGCCAGGTTTGATGGGTCAACCTGTAATCCCAGCACTTTGGGAGGCCAATGCAAGTGGACTGCCTGAGCCCATGGTTCAAGACCAGACTGGGCAATTTGACAAGACCTCATCTTTACAATAAATCAAAAATTAGCCAGGTGTGGTAGCATGTGCCTGTAGTTCTGGCTACTTGGAAGGCTGAGACAGAAGGATTACCGGAACCCAGCAGGTCAATGCCAGGGTGGTCATGAGTGTGCCATTGCACTCTAGCCTGGGTAACAGAGTAAAACTCCAATTAAAAATAAATAAAAAAATAAACAACAAATAAAGAATACAGTAAACAAAATAAATAACAAACTGACAAGCATGGAAAGCAGAATTAACCAAGCAGAAGAAAGAATCTCAGAATTTGAGAACCAAAGTATGGAACCAATTCAAACTGTTAAAAATATAGAAAAGAAGCTTTAAAAGTTGGAACAAAGCCTCCAAGAGATATGCACTAATACCAAGAGGCTGAATCTATATTTAACTGGCATTCTTGAGGAAGATAGAGAGACAGAGACCTCCATGGAACAAACATTCCTTGAAACTATTCAAGAAAACTTCCCTCATCGAGATGTGACCATACAAACACAAGAGATTCAGAGGAACCCTGCAAGATACTTAATGAGAAGAACTTCTAGACACATAATAATTTGATTACACAAAGTAGGTATAAAAGAACAAATCCTAAAGGCAGCAAGAGAGAAAGGTCAGACTACCTACCAGGGAAGATCAATTAGAATAGCTGCAGACTTATCTACAGAAACACTCACTACAGGCTAGAAAAGACTGGAGTCCATTCTTCAAAGTTCTCAAAGATAAACAGTTCTAACCAAGAATTTCCAACCCAGCTAAGCTAAACTTCATCAGCAATGGAGAATTAAAATCCTTCCCAGACAGTAAATCCCTAAGAGTTTATGCTACCTCCAGATATGATTTACAAGAAATGCATAAAAAAGTATTAAGCACAGAAAAAAGAAGAAAAGAACAACCATGCTCTTCACAAGAATGTAGGAAAAAGATTGAAAACACACACATATATCAACCCCCAAATCAAAAGAAAACCAACAAAGAAAGAAAGAAAGAAAGAAACAACAGCAAACTCTATAAGAATCTCACGACAGGAGTAAACTCTCACATTTCAATAATTAGCCTTATGTGGATGGACTAAGTGCACCACTGAAAAGACATAGAATGGCAAACTGGATTTAAAAACAAAAACATGATGCAACAATATGCTGTCTCCAGAAGATTCATCTCACCCTAACTGGATACTTAGAGACTCAAAGTAAGAGGATGGAAACAAATTTTCAGGCAAACAGAATACAAAACAAAAGCAGGAGTTGCAAACTTACTATCAGACAAAATATCCTTTAAGCTACCAAAAATTCAGAAAAGATATAGAAGGCCACTACATAATGATAAAAGGTTCAATCCATCAACAAGAAATATCCATCCTAAACATATAAGCACTCAAGATAGAAGAACAAAGCATCATAAAGCAGCTTCTAAACTAAAAGAAGGTATTGACTCTAACACTATCATAGTTGGGGACATAAATACCCCGCTAACAACACTAGATAGGTCATCGAGGCAAAAAATCAACAAAGAGATCCTCGATTTGATGCTTGACCAACTGGACTTAATAGATACCCACAGAACACTCCACCCAACAATCACAGAACATTCATTTTACTCATCACCACATGGAATGTACTCCAAGATTGACCAAATCCTTGGTCATAAATCAAGCATAAATGAATTCCATAAGAGCAAAATACTGCCATTCG